GTTGTGGTATTAGAGAATACAACTTTTCATAGCTGTCTAAGTGCCTTTGGACCATACGTAAGAGTGTCATCTCTAGTGCTTTTTTCATCAGGATGACCCCAAAGCTGCCAGCTTCCTTAGAAATAAAGATAAGGTTTTGCATGCCCTTTCCACACGCCTCTTAGCATAATACAGTATAGTTTATAAAAATAACAATGACTTTGGATTTAATCAGATTTGGGTTTGAAGCCTGAGAAATATTTACAAACTGTGAGACTTTGGACAAATTATGTACATCACAATTCAGTCCCCTATCATCATGTATAAAATAGGACTGTTATCTAATGTGTAGTAAAGACCAAAGTCAATAGTTGAAATTTCCATCCCAGCTGATTCAGTACCAACATGGTGATGGTGCCACATAGCATACGTCTCATAGTGACCGTATGTGCAGCAAAACAAAATGCTACCCTCTAAACACCTACTTGCTCATCTCTGCAATGGGGAGGGAAATGGCTCGTAGTCACAAAACAATGGTTGTGTGCCTAGCACTAGTCTAAGAGTGGGACGTTTCTGAACTGGCTTGTTTCTATGTGCTTGTAACATTCAAGAATCTGACTTCTCATAACTCTCCAGTTGCCATGGGGCCATTAGTACGAAGGTCACCTCTTGCACTTAATTAATCCTCAAAGCTTCCAGATAATCCAGAAATAAAGATCACTTCATTTTTTTTCTAAGGGAGACACGGAGGCACAAGACAGTTCAGTAGCATGGCCAAGGGCACGTAGAGGCAAGACTCACACCCAGTCTGTCTCCAGAGCTTTGTTTTTAGCCAAAATATGAATATTTGCTCTGCCTAGTGAGGCTGAAGGAGGCCTGGCGGCACAGGTGTTTCAGCTCTCATCAGCTGACTGATAGGGATGAAGGTTACCAGCCTACTGCTGATTCAGAATCTATCTGATATCAAACAACAATAAGAATTAACGAGGAACTCTACAAACAGGATGGGTTTTCTTCTTATTCTTAACAATTCTATTGGAATATAGTTCACATAGCATATAATCCAATCGTTGTATAATCATCACTACAATCAGTTTTAGAACATTTACTTCGTCCCCAGCCTCCCCTACCATGCCTCACACCTCACTCCATTACACATAATTTTTTGAAGATGGTTTGTTTCCCCTTTCCCCTGACATTTTTAAGATGATCATTTTTTAATTAAGAATAGCGAATGTGGTATCTAAAAAGTTAGCCTTACAGCGATGTCATCAAACAGGTATCAATTGCTTTACACGTGAAAAAATTGAGGCAGAGAGCCATGGAGTGACTTTCTCATATCCAGGGGTGACAGTTCAGCTACCCCAAACTGAGGTCTTCTGACTGCTGGCTTGGTGTTCTGACCTGTGTCCTGCTGGCTCTTGAGTAAACGTTGGTGGGCATGACCACGGTCGTCATGCCAGGACTTGCAGCAGGAGGGGCATGGCCAGTGGAAGCAGCCGTGTGTCCCCACAGTGTAGACATCAGCAGCCAGCAGTGTAAGGGGTTGCATTAATAGAAGCAGAACACCTGGAACAAGGGATGTGATGGTTATGACCTACCAAGTGTTGACTAGGCCAAGCCTGAGATATTGCACTCATGTTTAGAGTCCGCACACTTTCAAGAAGGGAGATTGAGGCTCAAAGTGAAATCTGCCTTCAAGTATCTGAAGGTCTGTCATGTGGGAGGGAGATTAGATTTGCCTTTGGGCCCCCAGGAGCATAACCAGAACCAAGGAGAGCTGAAAGAGCGTTGCCTTGGAAACCAGCCAGGTCCACATTCAAGTCTCATAGAGCCAAAGAGTAGCTATATGGCTTGAGGACAACATCCTGAACCCTTCTGCCTTAGTTTGTTCCTCTATACAATAGAGGTTCTATCCAGCAAACATTGGGTGTCTCACCCCAGGGGGCTCAAACCCACCACCCTTTCCATTCTGCAGGGAAAGGAAGAGGCTGTTTGCTCCCATAAAGATGTCTAGTCTCAGAAACCCTAGGGAGCAGTGCTACTTAAGCCTATAAGAGGCTGCTGTGAGTCGGCTGGACTTGACGGCTGTGGGTTCGAGTTTCCTCAAGACCAAACCAAACAAAAGCAGCTAACCCTTTATGGTCTTACTGCTTCTGCCTCATGGACCCTCTAGAACAGAACAGGTCTGCCCCCCCACCCCACCCCCAACAGGGTTTCTCTTTACAGAAGCACGCTGCCGAAGCTTTTCGCGCCCCAGAACTGCTGGTGAGCTGAACTTACTGGTTCAGTCAAGCGCTTGGTTACTGGGCCACCAAGGTTCTTCATCTTCTTCGTGGAACAAAAAAACCAAAGCCACTGCTTTCCGGTGGATCCTGCCCCAATAGGATCTTGTCCACCTATACCACACGGTATCTCCGTGCACTGCGATCTTTCTGAACTGCGCGTTCAGCTCTGTGCGTGACCCTAGCTGCTTCCATCCATCCTTTCTTTCTTCCTTCCACCTCCTCTTCTTCTTCCTGAGTTTTCACTCCCCACCCTTTTTCTATTTCCACCTCCTGGGAGTCTCCCGCCTGCAGGTCAACCGCAGCTCGGAGGAGCGCTTCTTCTTGCTGGGTTTCTCCGACTGGCCCTCCCTGCAGCCGGCCCTCTTCGTCCTTGTCCTCCTGTGCTACCTGCTGACGCTGCTGGGCAACTCGGCGCTGGTGCTGCTGGCCGTTCGCGATGCGCGCCTGCACACGCCCATGTACTACTTCCTCGGCCACCTGGCCCTGGTGGACGCGGGCTTCACCACCAGCGTGGTGCCGCCGCTGCTGGCCAACCTTCGCGGCCGGGCGCGCTCGCTGCCG